TCACACGGTCGTCACTGTGGACGGGAATATACTGGATCTGCCATCTGATGAGTCCACCGGACAAGAGAAGGAGAAAGAAGCCGCTGCGGCGCCATCGCCACACAAACCGCAAGCAAACCCCATCGACCACAATCGGTTCAGCTTCTTCTCCTCGGCATGGGAGTCGACCATCCATGCCGCAGAGATGGCCGATCTCGTCCTTCCCGGAGAGGATATTCGTGGGCTCTTCGAGCTTCCAAAGGATGAGGCTGATGGCGTGTGGTGGCTGAACTGCAACCACGCAACCAAAGAAGAAGTTCAGGGCATCTGCAAGGCGTTTGGGATCCATCCCCTGACGATTGAGGATATTGTCACCCAGGAAGCACGCGAAAAGATTGAATTGTTCCCGTCTTACTATTTTGCATGCTTCAGGTCCTTCAACATTGTCGAGGAAGAAGACGGAAAGGAATATGAGCCATTCAACATCTACGTCATCGTTTTTCGTGAGGGCACACTGAGCTTCAGTTTCGCTCCAAACGGTCACGCCTCTCAGGTACGAAAGAGGATTACGGCGTTGAAGGACTATGTTTCTCTTAGTAGCGATTGGATTTGCTATGCTTTGATGTAAGAATACTTGCCATTTCATGGACAGTGTAACTCAACACTAACATACAACTACAGCGATAACATTGTGGACGAATTCGGTCCCGTTATTCGACAGATTGAACTTGAGGCAGATGCCATCGAAGATGAAGTGTTCGTTATGCGAGACGACGATTCAAGCTCCTTCCTGAGGCGAATCGGCCAGGTCCGCAAGAACTGCATGGCTTTACTTCGTCTACTCGGTGGCAAGGCAGACGTCCTGCGTGGTTTCACCAAGCGATGCAACGAAAACTACCAGGTCACCCCACGGATGGACATTGGAATGTACCTTGGTGATATCCAGGATCACGTTGTGACCATGGCTACCAACTTGGGACACTTCGAGAAGATTCTGTCTCGAGCCCACAGCAATTATTTGGCTATCCTGTCCATCAACAACATCTCCCAGGGTACAGATACCAACCGCGTTCTTAGCAAGATTACTTTCCTGGCATCAGTTCTGGTTCCTCTGAACTTGGTCAGCGGTGTGTTTGGTATGAACGTGCCAGTTCCTTTCGTTGGAGCAGATCAAGACAACCTGGCTCCATTCTTCACCATTATTGGCGTCATGGCTGCAATATGCGCAATTATTCTCAGCTGGGCTCGTTGGGCTCGCTACATCTAATGTTGCTGTAGATATCTTTTGGCCATCGCCTGTATGTACTCTGTCTTATAGTTTGATATGTCGATATTGTTTCTAGTGAGAATAGAATAGACTTTTTGCGTCCGATTTGAGGTGAACATTGTATTTGGTTTCTTGAATTGGCTTCTTGACAGACAGAGTGGTGTTCTTGATTTCTATGACGTTGCCCGATATCAAAGGGCCTCGTGCTATAGGGTAGGCTGTCATCTAGTGGACCTGACACATCCCAGCATCGTTATGTCATTGGCTGAATTGGGATAGTATATTCTTCATTCTCTCAAATTCTGCGTCGAAGGCAAACCACGCCCGATCATTCTCACATAACGCCAGACGAAACCGCAACCATGAGCCTGTCGCAGAGTCCCCTCGATGGTCTTAACCTCGAAGCACTGAATGACCAGGACAAGGCCGAGATCCGCCAGTTCCTGAACAAGCAGCAGCAGCGCTCCCAGATCCAGGCCCGTACGTGCTCCAACGGCTCTCGCCCGCCTCCTGCTCCCCGATAACTATTCCTTGCTAGCTAGAGAAAAAGCTAACTGGTTTCCGCTACAACAGAAACACACCAGCTGACCCAGGTCTGCTGGACCAAGTGCGTCCCAGGCGCTGTCAAGAGCGGGAAGCTCGACAAGACCGAGGAGACCTGCCTGGCCAACTGCGTCAACCGCTTCATGGACCTTAATCTCCTGACGGTGAAGCACCTTCAGAACATGCGAAGCAACTAGTTGATCTACGATAAAGAGGATGGTGCATTTGTCTATGTATGGATTGTTTGGGCGGGCAATCTGGTCAGGTTTATGATGGATTGGATGGGAAAGGAAAACTTCACTCTATGATGGTGAATTGGTGTCAAAAATAATAGACGGCGCATAGATTTGTACACTAGGTAGATGTAGTATATTTTCAAGGCCGGCGGTCTGTATGCTAAAGCAAAACCTGTCCATAGGCATCACGATTACATTTCACTCAAGGGCTTGGGTTTGCACAGCAATTTTTCGGGTACTGATTGGCCTTTGAATTCATCATCATTTTTGTCCTAGCAATGATCTAATACGCCTTTTCCGATGCCTGTTACTCTCAAGTTGGCGGCCAAACCAGGCCGAAAAAAAAATCACACATCCGCACGCTTTTTCCCGGGAACCATATTTATACGAGCGACAGCTTGTTGGCAGCAATGTCGAGGGCATCGACGTCAGGGGTGAGGCGGGCGTAGGCCTTCTTGGAACCATCGGGGCTGTGAGGGGTCAGTATTTGGAACGGACGGATAGTTCCACGCTCGAGTGTGACTGAACATACCGGATGAGGGTGTTGATCTTGACGGTGTCGATGTCGTAGAGCTTCTTGAGGGCCTGCTTGATCTGGGCCTTGTTGGCCTTGATGTCGACAATGACTGGGCAAAGACGTAAGTTTTAGGAATGCTAAAGAGGACCGAAGTATAAACGTACAGACGAGGGTGTTGTGCTCCTCCATCTTCTTCATGGCGCTCTCAGTGTTGAGAGGGTGGATGACGATCTTGTGCTCATCGAGACGGGGCAAGTGAGGGATGGACTTGCGGGGGTACTTGGGAGCACGGGCGGTGATGAGGGTCTTGGGGCGGTGGAAAGAGGTGCTCAGGCGGACCTTGCGGTTCTTGCTGGAGTGAGTCTATTCGGAGATATTAGCTGCCGGGCCACACACAACATATCGCCATCGAGCCAATTTCAACTTACACCCTTGAGAGCAGCCTTGGCGGCAGCGTTGGCCTGCTTGGTGCCCTTGGGGGCGGCTATATATCACACACGCATCAGCAATCGCTCTTGTTCAGAACTCGCAAAATCTGCTGCTGCCATGATGCGGGACGGGGGGCGGGTGCCCATTTTCGTCGTCGCTAAATCGCAGGGCGTCTTCGTGCGCAGTATCCAATCCGAGATATCTTTCAAGTCGTACCTTTCTTGCCCTTGGTAGCGTCCTTTCCGGCCATTGCGTCGGTATTGAGTGACAGCTTTGTTGTGCTGGATGGTTAGTTATGAGCGGGATGAGGAGTTCGAAATTCCGGAAAAGTTTCAGCCCAAAAATGACTTGTGGTAGCGGACCTGTGGGTGGCCTCGATTAGGGTTGCAGGGATGCTGGAAGATGTGATTGGGCAGGCATTTTCTAATCGACAGTAGAGATCACGTGCTGATAAGCACTCGCTACCTTCATTCCACCTGGAAAATCATCGGAAACAATGGTGTTAGCGGATTGGATGCCGTAGTGGGTCGGCCAGGCAGACAATTTCAGCGAGCATTGAATCAAAGGCTTGGAAAGGCTATGTATATCTGCGTTTCGAAGGTTGCAGAGTGAAATCCGGAGGTTATCATGCTTCATTGAAGCTCAAACCAGCCTAATCGTATGACTGTTTTGTATCTTACGATACTCACAGCTGCGGTAATCTAATCATCTCGTGGAAGCTGAACATCTGGAGCTTCACCCGGACATGGACAAACATGGTTTCCACCAAAAACCAAAAGCTGAAAAGCCTGAAGGCTGGGCGTCCTCCACTAGCCAAGTCTTCGAGGACAATGTCCCGAAAAGCCAGTAGAGCTCTGATAAACAACCATCACCAGCTACACAAGAAGCGTCGCCAGGCGATCGCACAGGGCGACAAGGCAACAGAGACAGCTTTAAACGAAGAGCTGGCTAAACTTGGAGGCCTTGAGAAGTACCAAAAGGCGAGCCTTCAAGGACAAAGCCAGGATCGTGGTGGGGACACATCAAAGGTTCTGCTGGAATGGCTTCCAATTACGGAACTCAAAAAACCAGGGCGAAAGCTAAGAATGCTTGAAGTTGGTTCCCTGAGCACGCAGAACGCATGTACGGCGTCGGGACTGTTTGAAATGGTGCATATCGATCTGAACAGTCAGGAGCCTGGCATTGAAAAGCAAGACTTCATGGAGCGACCGCTACCGGAAGACGATTCCGAAAAGTTCGACATCATTTCATTGAGCCTTGTTCTCAATTACGTCCCAGAGGCTGAGGGTCGCGGCCAGATGTTATACCGAACACTTTCTTTCCTATGCGAGACATCAGAACAAACCGATCCTGGTGTGGTAGAGCCTACATTTCCATCACTATTCGTTGTGCTACCTCGAAGCTGTGTCACGAATTCACGGTATTTTACGGAGGAGAGGCTGGAGGAGCTCATGAATGCACTGGGATACCAGAAGTTGAGAGACAAGTTAACGCAAAAATTGACTTACAGTCTCTGGAAGAGAGTGGGTGATCCTGCCGACAGAAGGAAGTTTCCAAAGAAGGAGCTAAACCCTGGCAAAACTCGAAATAATTTTGTCATCACGCTTGGATAGAGCAGTGCCGAAATGACTGGAACTCCCGATAGTGAAAATCGGAGATCTTTCGGTCATGACTGACACAGAGTGTAAAATCACAGCAACCCAATGATTCAGGCTTCCTTCATCCAGATATATCAAGTTAGTCAAAACCGTGCCTACAACATCGAACCGGCTCACAAAACCAATCATGGATATAGCAGCGGTTGAGCTAGATTATCCTCTACTAAAATGAGACCGTTGGCCGCTTTAGTTGATAAGCAAAAGACGAGTATGACACTGCTAAGGCTCTCCGCCCCCCTTGGTACATGGCGGTGCCATTCTCCGTCTCAAGATGAGTTGAGCATCTCGTCTCTAGAAAATTCGATGCACCCTGGTCATTGCCAGATATCCGAGTATCGGACCAATGTACCAGCCACCTCCTTGCTGGCTGGCTATGAAGAGGCCAATTTGAATTCGTCAACAGCAACCTTGGCTAGGGGGTGCTCGTCGGGCAAAGGTGCATTGCCAGGTCTCACTACAGGCACACTCTGCATCCCAGCCCCTCGTGCAGCCTCCACTTCTTGGAGGTTGTCGCTCAGGAAGAGCCAGCGGCCAGGGGGAACGTCAGGATGGCTGGACAGGATTGCCTCATAGCTGGCCACGTTGGCCTTGAGCCCCGCATTGACAGTATCAAACCAATCTAAGATGAGTGGTTGGAGATCGCTTGGCTGGGCATTTGTATGCCCAAAGAGGAGTTTCTGGGCCGGTACGGAGCCTGATGAGTAGATCATGACCTTCCTTCCGCTGGCATGAACCTCCTTCATGAAAGGTGCCACATCAGGGAAAAGAGGGGCTTTGATCTCGCCGGAGGCATAGCCCGCCTTCCATATGTAACCTTGGAGTGCCTTGAGATAAGACACCTTGACGTCTCGAGCGACAAGATCCCGGAAGTGGGCCTCAAAAGCTGCCCGGTCATCGCGATACTCTTCAGGGAAGGCGTCGCGGTATTGTGCGAGCTCCGCGTCATCCCACTTCTGTTCCAGCAGCTTAGGGAGAGCATTAAGAGCGTAGGGAAACTAGGAGCAGATATTTCATGCAGTTAGTTTGGTTCAAAATACACAGTATTACAGGGGGCGAGTGCATGGTGGAGGGCGACTAGGTAGATCGATAGGACCGGAGGTTTTGCAAATGCCGGGCGGCATGCCAGAGAGGCAGACAGGGAATAAGATAATGAGATCGGGCTCGGCTAGGAGGGGGCAGGGCCCGGAAACCTACGAGGACGTCCTTGACGAAGGATATGGGACAGACGGTGCCCTCTTCATTTCCGGTCAAAGTCCATTGTTAGCTTCAAACAAGAATTGAACACTTGAAGCTCCACCTTCTAGTTGAACGAGGACTTCATCAGAATTACCAAGGAGGCAGCTCACCGATATCGAGTAGCAACACGTCGAAGTCAGCAAAACCTGTAGCCATTGTGGAGAGGTGAGATGAGGTGGTATGTGCGCGGGTTCTTGTTGAGGCGGTGAAGTCCAACACCCTCTGTGCGTTATGACCTGTCTTGGCTTGGTTCTCGGAGAATTAGGCTCGTCAATGCGTAGGATGGATTGCCTGCACTATTTCCCCCCTCACTCCAACAGACGTGGCTGGCAGAATGGCGGTCAGTGTCGATGTTGATGAAGCGAGATGATGATGAAACCAGCGCAGGATTTTGGCGGAGCGGAGTGGGGGATCATCTAGCGGTGCTCTGATTCTCCCTCCGTCTGTCTCGCCGGCTTGACCCACTGACAGCCATCTACAATTCGGTGCCAAGTGAAGCAACTCACCGATCTGGATCCAGACATTGCTATAGTAGTCGAAAGTCCAATTCCGATGCTACTTTGGTCGTCTCCTATTATGAGCCATTATCTTGGGTTGTCGGTCGCGACTTGCCGTCGTCGATTTGACCAACACTTCTCGTGCACTTCATTGCTTGATAGAACAGAGCAAAGTTTGAACTGAACTGAATTTTTAATTTCTTCTTTTTTTTGCGTGTATTGCCTATATTTTGCAGTCTTGTCTTTTCCATAGCTACTCCTTGTGCACCGCAACTAATGTGCCCATGATGGCACTGTAATATTTTTATGTCTAGGCCCAGGAGATCTATCATCTACCTCTAACCAGCTCACGATGAGCTGGCTTCTATGTTTCCGAAGAAAACTGCCGGGGTGCCTGGAGCCACTTCCAAGCTCAATCCGTCTACCACATCTCCAACCTTGGAAGCAACGCCAAGGAATTGTTCATCTGCACCAACAAATGCGACATCTGCCTTACCATCATCTCGCAGACGAACAATCTCCACAACTTCCAGCTTCCTGACACCGGCTCGAAGGCCAGGCACCATTTCTCGGAGCACGTCGGTCTCGCTAAAGGGCAGTTGCCGTTCAAACACACGCTCGGGGGGTTCGCCGGTGTCCAGTCGCTTCTTCAGATGCTGCAGGAGCGGCATGGCCTTCTTCATATCCTTCTTGTCAATCTTGGAAATCACGGCCTTGATGTCTGCGTTGCCTTCGGCCTCGAGGTGCTTTTGCAGAACATCTCTGTACCGCTGCTGGAATTCAGGATATTTCTCGGCCACGTAGATGGTAAGCTTCTTGCTCCGTGTGGGATCGTATGAAGCTTGCTTTCCCTTCTGCATCTTCTTCAGTTGTTTGGACTCTGCCTGCAAGGTATTGTTGGTTGTTTGCTTGATGCTGTTCCGATTGTCAGTACGCAGACTATGGTCACGATTTTCATCAATAATGATGGGTAGTTGGCACTTACTACTCGCGAATGGCTACGAGGATGGGGTCCGGTGGTGAAACAGTAGGGTAAAGGGCATTTTGGATGCTCGAGTCTTTCTTCAGAACCTCGCGCCAAATGTACTCAGACCAGTGAGGAATGATAGGTGTAACCAGAAGAGCTTGCAGCTCAACGAATTGGCGAACAAGGTCAACATGCATACCAAGACCAGCAGCTCGGCAGTTCTCGCGGTACCAATCACGGGCAGTTTGGAAATCGTAGAAGCCTTTTCTCTCTGTTAGCTTTTATCTTCGACGTTGAGCAATCTACAAGAGAAACAACAAAACCAGCTTACCTGTCTTCAAGGCAGCCTTGTAGAAAGTGCTTTACAAATTTGTTAGCATGCGTAGTCTAGAAAATGAACCTTCCGGATGTAGACATACCCCTCATAGCTCTTCTTAGTTTCAATGACAAGACCGCGAAGATCATTATCAAAAAGCTTGTCGAAGAAGCTGAGCTCTCCAGTACGGAGATTGTCCTCCTCGAGAGCATCCTTTGACCACTTCCTGAGTTCGTACAAGCGAAGAATTGCGGAGTTGGCGACCGTCTCTTCGAGGTTAGCATCCTCAATACCATCTCCAGCCTCTGCCAGAGCCAGACGAGCTAAAAGAAAACGGCCATGGTCAGTATTGAGGCCGAGACATAGACACAGTTCAACAAGACTTACTCGCATCTGTTCCATACTTGTTGATCGCTTGGCGCAGTGTCATGAAGTTACCAGTGCTCTTACTCATTTTAGATCCGTTGAGCATGAGATGACCGTTCACACGGAAACTTCGTGGCCAAAACCGTTTAGGGAACAAAGCGATGTGGTGGTACAAGCTGAACGTAAGATGGTTGGTAATGAGATCCTATTGCAGGCGGGTTAGTTGTGGGTCAATATCAAGGTCTTGCCCTTTCAACATACCTTTCCGGAAATTCTGATGTCCATGGGATACCAGTATGAGAATTCCTTGCGCATTGCTGCAAGATCTTCCGGAGCAATATCCGTCTCAACCTTTTCAGATCGGAAGAAGATGTAGTCCCAAACCTCATCTGTCATTTGCTCAGGGGTGATCGGCTTCTTCGAGATACCGGGGTTCTTGCCGAAGATGTCGCTGTGCAGATAATGGCAGATGGTATAGTAAGCCATGTAGACTGTGCTATCAGACAAACTCTCAACAAGCTGGGATGCATCCCATGGTACCTTAGTACCAAGGCCAAATGAGCGACTGCATGCCCAGTGGGCCAACCAGCCAAGTGCTTGCTCGAATGCATGCTTTGCTTCCGGATAGTAGCAGTTGAATTCCTCCTCAAGATAGTCAAGAACAGTCTGACACCATTCTCCATCACCTCCATTTTCAGCAGTTCCGTAATTGAAATACCACTGGTCGAGGTACGCAGCAATGCATTCGTCTGCAGAGCGACTGACAACGAGGCCATCAGGCTCGGCGTACTTGAAAGCAAGATCCTCGTCAGAAAGCTGCTTCCCAACAAGAGTTCTAGCGTCCTGAACAGACTTTCCAGCGTAATCGCCGAAAATCATGGTACCCTGGTAGAAGCCGAGTTTGTATGCAACTTCCTTGGCCTCGGCCAATGGTTTGGCGTCTTTTGGCGAGTTAATCCCAAGTTCCTCGTACAAAGTCTTGGCAATCAGATTTCCCTTGGGGGTTTCGATGAGGGGCACGATTTCCTTGTCGACCCATTCCTTCTTAATACCAAAGTAGTCGGGCTTCTTCTGGAGTTCGAGAGTCGTCGCATAATCGTCGGGGCTGTCTGATGGGACGCAAGCAACCACAGCAGTACCTTTGTTGTCCTTCAGGCTCTCCATTGGAAGAATACGGATACCGTCCTTGTACGCTGACAGAGGTGCATTAACGAGGGTACCAACGAGGTCGGAGCCTACCAGTTCAGCGATCTGCGTGACAACTCCCCAACCAGGACTCAAAGCCTGATAGGCCATATTCTATTTCGAGGTTAGGTTGCGGTGGTAATGAAGAGAATACCACGGGCGGATGATTGACAGAACGGGAGCTTGGCGATGCCGGTACTGGTTATGGGTAGACTTACTCGGGCCGCACGTGGCGTGGCGACGACATATTCATTCTTCTCGGGAGACAGCAAGAAGACCCCATAGTTGACTCTGAGCGACCGATATTAGTATGAAAGAGCATATACCATCTCCTTAGGGAGAGTATCACTGACTTGGGTCCGACAAAACAACACGTCATGCCGTAAACAGTCTCAGGTCGCAGAGTCGCGGGAATAAAGTAGACCTTGGCATCCTTAGGAATCTTGTCTCCGAGAACCTCCTTGGCGCGATCAGACCATTCGAGAGTTTGAAGCTTGACGCAAGTATACTCTTGTACGCCGATTCCCTCTCCAGCACTGCGATCATGATCAAGGCACGGTTGACCATCCTTGGGGCTATTTCTGTTAGTCTTGAGTTGCGAATTTCAGCAATGCATCAAATTTTACCTGTAGATCGTGTATCTCTTTCCGAACTTAACCTTCTCGAGTTCTTTCAAGCGATTCATCTGCCAGCGGACGAAGGCGTCGTAATATGGATTCGCATCTGTTGTTACCATAGACCTGCGCCAGTCAACGCGGCATCCAAAGGCTGTGAGGTCTTTAATTGGCAGTTAGCAAGCAAAACGACCTAGTTTCGTCCATCATATTGCGACGAACCTTCTCGGCAGAGACCGGGGAAGTAAGTAAGCCAGTAGGCGGGATCAGCGAATTTTGAGACCTCTTCAACTGGAATGCCAAGAGATGCCATGATCTGACCCACGCTCAGTTAGACGACATTTCTCCATGATCCACTGACTTTATTTACCTGAAATTGGTACTTGACCGTGCCGGATTTCGCAACGGCTTTGCTTTTGGAGCCGCTAAATTTGCTCAGGTCGGTCTTTGCCTGGGCACTCTTGGTGTCGGGAGCAACCACTTCCTCCTCCTCGTATCTCTCAAATCTCTCTCCAAATAGCTCAATCTCTCTTGCCAACTTATCGGCAGCTGCTTTGATAGGCATACCACTGCAGTGGAATCCTTGCGGGAACAGGGTTCTCTTCCCCTCCATTCTGGCAAAACCAGTTCCAAATTCTTGCCTTGTTGTCAGCCTCGAGGTCGATAAGGAAGAACTGTGAGAAACCCCGAACTAACCAATTTTCGAAAAGGTGAATGCATGTCCTGCGTGAAGAGTGCCGTTCATGTAGGGGTATGCGGTGGTCGCGAAGTACTTGTGCTTCTCGCCCTCGGAATCGGTAGGCGCATCGTTCACGAAAAGGTTGGCGTCGGCCCATTCCTTCTGATACTTCTTCTCGAATTCTATCAAGGAATCACGCTTGTCTGTCTAACGAACCTGTCAGTTTCAAGGACGCCCGAAATAGCCTCCAAATGGACAAACATTTTGTGCTCGCTGCTGCAACGGCAGGCTTTGGGTTGCTGCTTCAGTCGCCATGATGTGCTAAACAAAGGTCCGCGGGTGGAAAAAAGTCCACAATCTACCCAGACCTTGGAAAGCTTTTACTGAGGTTTGACGGTGAACTTTTTTTTTGGCGAGGTGGCTAGCTACCTTAAAGATAGCAGCTTGGATTGACTCACACAGCACCCGTTGACTTGACTCAATGCAACTTTTGGCGGGGTTGTTTTGCGGCGGAGGGGTTAACCCCACGCCACGTGACGTTGAAGCATTGCGTTGTAAGAAGATTTGGCTCGACGTTGTGTGAAGTTCATAATCTCGTCTCAATCGTCGATTATGAACATGAATCTACGGTCCGAGTGTTTGGGCATAAAAATCCAGTTCGAAAATATCAAATTAACCGTTGCAACTCCAGTGAGTGGTCTTCACAATAACCTTGAGCTCCGTCCTCGAGTCGCAACTTGGGAATGACTTAGTAATCAGAGCTATTTCGGGACATCAACTTATGGCTGCCAGGTGGAAAGAAGTCTGCCACTATAACCATCAATTGTATCATCAATGATGAATCTTGCTCAAAAAATCTTGAAGATATGGCTGTACAACTAACTTTTACAAGCAGGCTGGATCCATTCTTCGTGGCAAATGTGATATGTTGCACGGCTGCGCCAAGAGGGAGGTCGCCCGACAAGTAGCCTTCCAGTCCTCCCATCTCAGGTATGTGACAGCTTGGCCCGCGTCACGGACGTCCTTACCCGGTAGGTAGGTAGTTAGTCGCGTCTGGCTTTTCACAAGCATGAAGGACAAGCTACCATGAACATAGCAATCAAACAATTCTTATTGGAAGATGGTAGCCACTTTGGATGTGCACGATAGCTGTGGGACGCGGCTCTCACGGGGCCGGTAGCATTTACAATCCGAAGTAATTTGCGCTGGATGCACACCGTTAATCAAGCCGGTTTTGGAAGGTATGTCACCCCATTGATCCTCCAACTGACGTTTGCTTGTCTGTAACCTTCACGTCGCGAGCACTGACCACATCGAGCTAAGTAGGTAACCTAGAGTGTCCAAAAGCTACTGGTTTTCTTTGATGAATGGCCGGTTAAATTTGCCTCAATTCCAGCTGGACACTCTCACTACCTCCTGCGACATCATGTAAATACCTGTGCGAACAACTACGTAGTATTGTGTTTACATACTGCTACGGCAACGCTTCGGTGTCTGGGTCAAACATCATAAATCGAGGTATAGGTGAGAAGGGACCAAAGCTGGAATGCAGCCGGACAGGAGTGCATGTGCGCTAAGCCAAAAGGAGAGCAGAAGTGTCAGACAAAAGGAGCAGGGGTGACTGGTTGTTGAGAGGGATCGACGAACCTAACGAAGACGAGGTACGTAGCCAGTCCGCGTCAAGGGCGGTACCAGTCACCAACCCCCAATAACAGGCTGAGACTGTGTGTAGGTAGGTTGGCCAGTGGTGCCACGCAGACCACGTCCTCCACGACGAGCGATCAGCCATCGGGGAGACCTCGTCACCAAGTTCCAGGCACACTCAATGGATAGGCTGGGGGGACCACGAGAGCAAGTACTGATAGGGCGGTGTGGATATGTTGCTTTCAAAATCACCTTATCTTCCACACCTTTCCTGCCTCCCCTCCCAGAGGCCATCACACTGTATCCCCACTCAGTTCTGCACGAATTATTGGATGTCCTCATGTCTACAGCCAACCACGATGCCGTATTGGCACGGTCTAGGCAAGGGATATGTACTGTGCGGCAGGGTGGCCCCCGAATTATGGGGCTGGCAATCAAGCCAGCTATGCGCCCTCGAGACCCAGACACAGTCCCCTTCGTTAGCTGTATACATGGCAAGACCGAAACACGTCGTGCCTCAGGTTGCTGTTTTGGCGCCCGTCTCTCTCCTTCGGCAAGCGGGCGATGAATAAGACACTGCAGGTGAGATGACCTGTTAGATGCAGGACAGAGGAATTACATGATATTCATACATTTGTATCCGTGACAATCATGATCTATTGCAGTGGCGGACAAGACAGAAGTTCATCGCCATGCCGTCTTGCAATGGATGTTTTGTCTCGCGCAGCCGACAGAGGATTGCCATCACGGGCGTTGTGTCATCGCCGTTTTAATAATCCGGCAGTGGACCCCAGGTCATTACATTAATTGGCCTAGACGTAAGGTTCATGCGAATGTCTTAGAGGCCACCTAGGTACCGACGGTCGCGTGCCAGGGACCCAAAGGCGCCATATATAGGTTCATGATACCTTGGGGACGTTCCGGCCACCTGCCATGTACACAGGTACCAGGAGGGCTGTGTCGGAACCACCAGGTCTCAAAACAGGCGCCGGAGGGCGCCTCGTAATGGCTAATGGCTGGTACCTTTACCAGGTATTATGCAAGAACGTTCTAGCTACTATCCGCGTTGCCTTCGCATTGGCTCCTGCTTTCCATTCTAACAGTGATATTAAGTTCGGATTGCACGGTGGCCGGACGGATGGTTGGTAAGTACCCCTGAGAGCTGCACCCTGAATTCGATCCCCCCCTTTCGCTCGCTCCTTCGACTGGAGACGGAAGCAGCGCATTCTGATGTCAAGCCAAGGTTACAGCACATACGAACACGGACGAAAAAACATCGTCGATCACATTCGCAGCAGAACTTACTCCTGAGCGAAATTGTCATGCCTTGTTGATGTAATCCCTGCCGACACCGTTCAATGCTCCACGTAATACCTTGGCCGTGCCTGCCAACTATGTATCTCGCTGCCATTAATAGGAGTCACCAAGAACAGCTCAGCACCGCTAACGGCCAGGCCACCTACGTATGACTGAGCGATCGAGTCACCAGGACAGTAAGAGCCCAAGCCGCGCCAACTCGAGGATCCTTGCCTGAGGCATCAAAACTAGATACGTACTATGGCAGACTACTGGGCAAGCTAGCAGGGTCGCGACCAGGCTTGGGACGGTTGGGGTGGTACTCGAGGTTCTAGCCACCGCGACTGGCATTTCACGGTACCTGCGATGCGGTGTGGGCCCCCTGATATGCCATGTTATCATGTTGCTGCCCCCGTCCAGACCACCTCCGAGACCAATCCCGTCATCCAGTCCCCGGTAGCCTGAGCCCACCCACACCCCCCAGGTTTCGTCTCGCCAGAACTGAAATGACCCAGCAGAGTCCAGCAGGTTCCCTCAGAGTCTTTGGGCATCTGTCCTCGCACTCCCTGTTCCCCACCCCCTCCACCTGACGCTCATACCGCCCACCATTCTTCATCACCGCCATTCCCTCGTCACCTTCTCCCCAGTCCCTTTATTATCATCTCTCCAACCTTCCTTCTTCTCAGCGTCCTCTCTTTTGCCTTATTCGCCATCCTCGCTTCACCTCGCCACGCCATCGGCGCCCGCCTTCTTTCTTCTCGAGCTTGCACTACCTCTACACATCCTTCACTTTCCAACTAGTTCTACCCGCCGCTCCGCCCCCCAACAGTAACGCCCGGATTCACCTTGCAAGCCAAAGCCAACGCTTTATCGACTGACACATCGGCTCCTATCTTGTCAGCAATCGAGAGAAAGAAGGGTTCTAGGCCCGACACCGCTACACACATACACACATCACTCGCATCTCCTAACTACCATCGTTCGTGGTCACGGCTCATCGACTCACAACTGATTACCGTGTGATTCATACCGACCGATCTCGGCCCCGAGAACACATCACACTACAGCAAAGGAAGCATTCACCTGGCATACCTCTGACCTTACTTTGGGTCGTCGGGGTTCCCCCCATATCGACAACTGAAATCAAAAGCTTTACCCGTTAACGGTTACCGGTCTTCGCCCGACGCCACCCGCACTTGGACGAAGCTGGACCGTAGCCCGACTCCTGACAGCGCCAAGGTATCTCGTCCTGCCATCTCCTACAAGCAGATAGACCTCACCTTTCGAACCGTTTGGTGATTTCACGCGCTTCTGGTTCTTGGTGCCTGTTCCACCTTTCAATCCATCACACGGCATCGCTGTCTGAGTCGCTCTTTCATTGTCACATCGACAACAACCCCCATGTCATCATAACGAATCTTCCTTTGTTCTTGCTCGCCTTCTTGGGCCTTTCGGCTCGGTACGTTTAAACTACGACTCGATAATACGCCAAATTTCCTTTGTTCAGCATATCAATTCTATCAAATGAGCCTCTGATTTCTCCACGACCCGACAAACGCACATATACCTACAATCGACATTCGACTTTCTTTTCCTTTTCTCAAAAAAACATCAACTCTACTTACACCAAACTGTATATTTTTTTACGACAATTCTTCTCTTCCAACAATTCTTTTCTTTTCACACCCCTTTTATTTGTATTCAAGGTTCTTAACTGGCCCCAAAAAAACCTTTTAACTTTTAACGACTTGGGATCTGTTTTATTGTCTTTTATTTTCAACGATAGAAGGCGTGCTCTTGGCTTGCAGTTGTTTGGCCTTTGTACGAGTACTTCACGTTTCTATCATCAATTGTCCGATTCCTGTTCGACATGGAGTGTATGCGAGAGAAGTTTTCCGGCGGTGCCCTTCTCAATGGCCGCTACCAAACAATTTCCCCTCTGAACCATGGTTCCTTCGGTATGGTGTTTGTCGCGCAGGATCTTGTCACCAATGAATCCGTCGCAATCAAGTGCATGACCAAGCGGTCAGCCTCCTTCGACGGCACTGCGGATTTGGCTGTGGATGAGAAGTCCGAGGAGTATGCTCTCCATACTCTTCTCGGTCAGCATCCTCACATTGTCAATATCCTAGACACCTTTGAGACCGACGCTCACGTTTACCTCGTTTTGGAGTACTGTTCGCAGGGAGACCTTTACGAAGCAATTCGCAATGGCCAAGGCCCTCTGGAGACCGAGCATGTCCGCCAATTCATGCTGGAGCTTGTTGATGCTGTTTCCTACATGCACTCCAAGGGTGTATACCATCGCGATATCAAGCCGGAGAACATTTTCTTGACACAGGCAGGTGCGATGAAGCTTGGTGATTTCGGATTGGCCACCACTGACAAGTGGTCATACGAGATGACTGTTGGCAGCGATCGTTACATGGCTCCAGAGCAATTCGATTCAGCTGGGGCTGGTTACTCGCCCGCTGAGGCGGACGTCTGGGCTATTGGAATCTGCTTGCTCAACATTCTGTTCTCCCGCAATCCCTTCACTACACCTACCGAGTCTGACCCGCTCTTCCTTGATTTCTCTCGCGACAAGCAGAGTCTCTTTGATGTCTTTCCATCCATGTCACAGGACACCTATGAGGTGATCGTCCAGTGCATGAACATGGACCCTCGACGCCGATCCCTTGTCGGAGCCCGTGATGCTCTCATGCGCGTTGTTAGCTTCACTGCTCAGGATGAGATTTTGGATGACTTCTGCACTGCTGAGAAGGGATGCATTGCTTCTGCGAACCGCGAGCCGCTTCGCACTCCCTCGATTCAGAGCCCTCAAGTGGATGACGCTGGCGCTTTCCCCTGGACCAAGGCTCTCCATGTTCCCTCTCGTCATGCTCGTCAACTCAGCGCTATTCCCGATGACGAGAGCTACTCTGAGGACCTGTTTTCCACCTCTGAAGAGACTATTGATTGGTGCTCTGCTGCTACTCAGACCCCTTCAATGTCATCCATGCTCACCTCGAGCCTTGGCCTTTCCATGAAGTCTTTGGCCATTGACCCGCAGAAGCGCCGATCCAAGGTATCACCAGCGGCAGGATCGTTGCCCATTCAAATGACAAAGCCTCCCATGCTCTCTCTCGCTACCGTCTTTGGCAACCGAGACACTGTCTCTAAGAGCTGGAGTGACATGTGGGACGAAGACGAGGAGGAAGAGGAGCAGGAGCGTGTCAGGCAAGTGCAGGCACTGAAGGAGCTGAATTCGCGAACCTGGAGCCAGGAGAGCAAGGGTGAGACGATGAAGGCTGAGGAGGAACACGCAATTGGGCCTCTTGGCATTCAGGGCAATATTGACGACGACGATTTGGCTGACGGCTTCTTCTTCCAAGAGGCGCCAGCTGTTCAGCGTCATGTCCCGGAGATGCCACGATATTCCCCTCCTCCGAAGCGAAGCGCTCTCGACAAATGGGCTGCTTTGGGTGAAAGACGACGTGGACAGAATGCGACATACAACATTAAGAAGGAGAAGGTGTCAGATATGAAGACACCTCGGTATTTGGAATTTGGAATTAAGTCTTATGAAGCGGGCGTTTTGGAACAACATAATTATCATCATCATCACAATAACAAACAACAACCACAATCACATTCGGGGAAGGAGCGGATCAAGGAATGCCCATGGAACAAGGGCAGAGATTGGAACTGGCGTCGTGATCGACGCACCGATCTTGGAGATGTTGAGTGGGTTGGTGGTTGGTAAGAGGATAATTTGCCATTCTCTCCAATCTTCCAATCATGGCTGCAGGTTGTATACTCATGTCCAGTGGTTCGTGCCCGTTGGCACAGGCCACAAGCTTCATGAGTCTAGATCCTTCAGTTCACTTTCTGTGTATTAGAATAGTTCTTAAGAAGCTCTAGATAACAATACCAGAGGTTACCCACTCAGAAAAAAAAACGTCGAATCAATCGCTATGACCAGCGCTGACATGTCCAATTGATTAAATGTACATGGAATCCTGGGAGGTCATATTCGACTCACATCTCAGTCTGATACACATTCATATGTTGCGTGCTATGGAACATCATCATAGTACGGACCTATGTGCTTATTGGACGTGATCTTAATGGTGTCAAGAGAAGTCGAAAGGTGGTATATTACTGGCCGCAACGAATCTTGCTATACTATGCAATTTACTTCTAGAGAAAAAGGAAAGCCAAGTCGCTCGTAAATGCATAACACAACACAAATGGTCAGACCAGAAAACCTGGCTAAGCCTACAGATGACTGCTGCTATGACAAAAATACACAAGTTTCTCAATGATCAGCAGCTAACACAATAGAAAGCCATAGCTGGCTTGGGTGCAATAATGCGTTCTGGGGGGGAAAGCAGTGTCGACGGCTTGTGCCCGCAATAGCAATGTGAGTGTTACGCCCCAATCAGATCCTTGGGCAAAAACGTCCAAACTGTCCCGACCGAGCCGAAAATGGAGAAAAGGATGAGAAGGGAGAACAACACGAGCCGCTCCGAAGGCGAGGTTTCTTGCCAGTACAGCTTCAGATAGAAGGATATCGGGAGGATGATGGAGATAACCGTGCAGAGCGCTGCGCCGAGGAAAGCGCACACAGAGTCAAAGGCGGGGAAGACAATTGATATGGAGAGCAGAATGATGACCACGCTGACACGGATGACACCGCGGATTCCGCTTTTTACCAGCTCTCCGCGGTGGTTGCCCGTGCTGTCTTGGTGTTCGTGATGGTGGTGATGGTGATGCTCATGTACGCCGCAGAGCACGTCTGCCGTGGTGACCAGAGGCCGGGCGTTGAGGGGGATCTTGGTAAGTGGGATAATGGCAACGAAAATGCACATGGTGATAGCCAGGGCTTTGGGGTAACCCTCGCTCTTCAAAATATTGGACGTAATGGCATCAGTGATGCCATCACCAAACATGAGGACGCCAATTACGCCAAGACACATATCCAAGGCGTACTGTTGGCACAGGATCCAGATACGGATGTCAGTAAACAGACTCCATAAAAGTGCAAGGGCTATTTCCCAGGGCTTCACTGACAGAAAAAGAAAATGTGACCTTGACGGCCTTGCCCCATTTGGCGGGGTGACGCATATCCCTATAGATCTAAAAAAGGAACAATACGGCCCACGTAAGTAGATGTTCATCTCGGTAACCTTAGAATAGCTCTCGCCAAATATGTCCTAACTTACCGAGGGGAAAATAGAATGGGCACCCCAAGGACTGGCCATCAGACCATAGGCCAGGGGTAGCGCAAGCCAGTTTGACGGCAATAAGTAAGTAGCGGCTGGATCTCGTAAAGACCCAGGAGTCTCCGTCTTAACCAAGCCGTCTACTATAACGATGCAGACAACTGTAGCAGAAACCAGTTAGCATCCGTTCTCACGTGCTACATCCACAGAGACACGAGTTCAGTTCGGCAGAGGGCAGCCCTTACTTCCAAAGGTGGAGAAAATCCCAACGATGCTCGTGTAACTCAAGAAGCGCAAGGGGAGCGCATTCAGTACCAAGATGAGGACTGCACAAAGACATTTCCAACTGTTGACGGTCGCCAACCCAGGTAACAGAAGATCGAGAGAGTCAGCGAACAAGATCACCAAGGCCACACAAGCAGCAATCAGCTCCAGGGAGAACATGACTGATACAACCATGCGTGCACGGGTGCCAAACGACACAAATGCTAAGTCTGAGTAGGTGATGAGGCTGGGGTCATAGTCCATGCACTTCGCCAGCAGCTTGCCGGTGTAACCAGTCACACATGCACATAGAGTCATGAGTGCGAATCCGAGAATCCAGCCGCTGAGTTTGAAGGCCAATGGTAAACTAAGGATACCCACCCCAATGATGGCGTTGATGGAGTTGAAAACCGACTGTGGGAGCGTGCTCTGGCCCTCGACAGCAAGTACAACGTGGGATCCCTGTTTGACCTCTTTGACGAGAATCGGTTCATGCTCACCATGGGCGGCGTCCTCATCGTCCTCTTCCTCAACCCAGCCCGCCGCAGGGTCAAGCGACAGTCGCCGCGGTTGCAATGATTCTCTACCGATAGTCCCATACATGGAGCTACGGTAAGAATCATAGCTCCCGATAATAGACGAGGTTGACAGATATGGAGGGTTGGCAAATATGCTGGATCGGCCGGACGGCGAGGTGCCGAGCAATGCACCGCTGGCCATCTCGGTATCAAGAGGCTTTCCCTCTCGAGACCTGAAGTCCTCTCGGGAGTGTTCAGGGGTGGCAGAAGGACTCAAGTGATTTTCCCCACCCTCTCTTAAGGCATTGGATGATGAGGCGTCGTCTGCCGAGTGCTGTTGGTACGAGGCTTCCAGGTGCTGCCGTAATAAGCTGGTGGTAGGGCGGGCTTCGCGATCCTCAACATGACTCCTTCCATACTGAATATCGCTAGGGTCGGCATCCTCAATCGCGGTGCCATCACCCGCGTATATGAAACTAGGTCGGCGGGGAATGACTTCGGGGAATCCAGCTGCGCGCTGCCAGCTACGAGCAAAGGATCGAAAACTGTTCACCCCACCAATGTCGGCCACAGCAGCAAGTCTATTGGAAAACGAGCCACTAGGGTGTTAGGTTAGCCTGGGGAAGTTCAAGAGCGCGGGAATTGGACAAGTTCGTACCGTCGGTGCTCATCATGGTTGTCATCGTCCAACAGGCCATGCAATTCGGAGTGCAAACCACTGGACGCAGCGCTGCCAGACGGGGAGGGCCGTCCATCGTATTCGTCCCATGTCGCGGGATTCTTGATATTGGAAACCATCACTCTATCCTTCCTCAGCGCGCGACCGAGAGACGCGTTTCCTTAGCCCAGGGAGAGAGTGCAGGGCCAATTCAACGTTGAGCAAATGCAAAGAAGACGAGCAGCTTCGGAGCTTGCCCGGCACAATAGGTAGATAAGAACGCCACCCGAGGTCACGAGAGTCGGGGCATTACCAAGGGTCGATCGACCTTGCCAGTAGGATGAGGAGCCGGTGGATAACCCGATTGCAGACTATGGGAGGGGGAAGGAAGCGGGGGGGGGCAAGATAAGGGCTACAATCCAGCACAGACCCGAATTCTTGGTTTCTACAGTGGTGTTGAAATGCAGGCTCCCTCAAATCCATGCCGCCATAGCCATGGTCAATGTGAATATAGCCCAAGGGCTGGCCAGGACCGAACGTTGACGTGAACTGCCCAACTGCCGTCCCGGGACAGGCCTGTCTCTGGACGGGCGGTGGCAGGTGGAGAGGTATGATGCACTTAGTGTTCAATATTACCAAGTTTGTTATTAAGGTATGATTATCTGGGCCCATCCAGCATCATCATACATTAGGCGGTACATACATGCGTGTAGCTTGGCAGCAACGCTGCGTGCAAGTGGGGCGCAGGATCTGTTGCGCTACAGTACAGCAGCGTGACCTGCTTCTCTGGTGCACGAAATATGTGAGTGCTCTTCAAGTGGTCGCTAGCTGTGTCGTTCGCATCGACGTGGTGTTTGCCTTGTGTAGCTGTGGTTTGGGCCACAATTCATCTCAACGTTATGATGATTTCCCATCAGAAGCTATAACTCACTTACCTTCTCTCTGTCTCCCTCTCTTACCCGACCACAGCGGCTTCCCGCCTTAGTACCTGGTCAACGTCCCTCTCTGCAATGGCCTCTGGCCTCCAGCCACAGTCCAGGTTTGTATGTTGGCTTGTCTCCCGCCAAGCCACCCAATGCCATTCATCATGAGTAAGCAAAGCACGGACTCCAACCTACCTAACCTAGATCAGGCCAAGCACCATACCGAGGTAGGTGCATGGTAAAAGCTTATCACCGCCCTAGGATATCCACCAGCGCGCGCATCCAACTGGCAGAAAATCCCACCCACCTTTTCCCAAATGCCGATGAATACCGATATCTAGGCCTAGCATCCTACTTTCGCGTCCTATTTTCGCTCCCGCCATGATAATCCGACCTCCAATATGAATCTTTCGTCGCCGGCCGTCGCAAAGACAACACCGACCGGCGAATCCATCCCCGACTCCGTCGCCCACCTGCGCGCTCTTCTCGACGCCTTCAACCATCGACACAAGAACCAGCATCATTCCTCCCACTGGTGGTCGCACTTCTCCCGCCTCCGGCGCAGTCTCTGGTCGCTCCTGGGCAATGACGGGATCCCTTCTTCTCTGCATGCGCGATGGCTGCAATCTCACGCTCTGCCCCGATCATACAAGTGAGTCCTCTCTTCCCAAATCTCATCCGTCTTCCCAAAATGATTCCACCTCTCGTGAATACCACTTCCACCCCGATGTTGTCTTCCCGAGAGAATTACGTACTCATTCTGTTTAGGTCATTCTCCCAGCTAGCTGCCGATAATCAACATGCTCCCCTGGGCCTCCTCCTCCTCACAGTTCTCGCTCGCGTCCATGCCCTCTTAACGTATATCCTCCCCGCAGAGGAACAGGCCCCCGCCCTCATTTCTATCCAGCAAGCCCTGCCCAGAGTTGCGCCAGAATATGGATCAAAGGTAGACAAGGGAATCGCTGTAGCGCGCGATTCTAGAGAGAACACAAGAGCTGCATCATTGACGGCTTCGTCAAAGTCGTCGGGCAAGCCCGGTCGCCCGAAGCCGGCAACAGCAGAAGAGAAGAAGAGTAGTAAAAAGAGTAAAAAGAAGAAGAAAGACGAACTATCCAGCCTTTTTGGCTCCTTGGCATAGATATGAAAAAAAAAATCAATTACACATAATGATGGCC